CTCTGCTGAGACCAATTTCCTTCTGGGTAAAATGGCCCTACTGAGTGCCCAGGGTTGCTGCGTTTAAGTCTGTGTGCTGGAATAAATGCTTGAGACGTTTTTAGGGTTTTCAAGTAAATGGCAGTTTTGAAGTGTTAAGTTTTGTGTTTGTTGAGTAGTTTGTCTCCAGGCAGGGCTGTTGGGCAAGGATCCGTGGCTCACACCCAGCTCCCAGCTCTGGTGCATTGATTAGGCACCCAGGAATGCTAGTTGGCCGTAGGCCAGCCTTATCATTTCACAGATGAGGAGACTAACTGGTCTTAATAGTCAGCAGTGGTCTTGCCCGTCTCTAGAATAAAGCTGTCATCCTTCTTTTGGGTGTCAGTCATTCCTTTGTGAAGTGTCAGCTGAGTACTTTCTAACATTCATTGCCAGGCCCTCCCCTAGACACCAGGTGTGTGGTCGTGATTTGGTTAGCAGAGGTTAACCAGTCACACAAATACAAAATCAGTGCATTCACAGATCATCTAGCAAAGATTTATTGAATGCCTGTGGGCTGGGTATAGCGCTGTGGGCTGGGAATGCCAGTCTGGATTGGGCGGGGGGGGGGGGGTGCTGCGATGGAGCCTTGGGAGTGCTCCTCTGAGGGGGTGACATTTAAGCTGAGATCCGAAGGGTGAATGAGTAGGAGTTCTAGTGTTATTACCGGTGTGGCTTCGGTGACTGGCTTTGGTGTCCTCTGCAAACCTCTGCCTTCATTGCTGGGGCTAGTTTTCCTTCTAGCATTTTCATTACTTAGCTGTTGTTTTGATTTCTTATGTGTTCCCAATAAAATAAGCACTAAATTCATTAATTTATTTCTCCCGCCCTCCCCTTCACCACAAGCCTCCCTACTTTCCTTTCCTGCCATCTTTAGTGGACGTATGCATCCCATTCGGAGCTCCACACCTTTATATGCCTTTATATGCCAACGGCTGTCTCCTGCATGCAGATGTGCCTGCTTGACGCCTCCCTTGGCAGGCCTCTGGGAGGTTAATATGCCTTCCTGTTCCCTGAACCCCCCCAATCCAGTGACTGACAGCCGTTGGTGGATTAATACTGCAGCACCCATGCCCTCAGCTGGGACAGCTCTGGGGCAGGAGCTGTAGGGTCTCCTGGAGTCCCCAGCGGACTTGAACTCCACTTGGCCATGGTGATAACCTGCTTTTTAACATACCCTGCATTGGCTTCCTTCCCTCCCACATCTCTTCACTTCCCAGTGCTTCCTGGAATTACTTACCAAATAAACTACTTGAATTCAGGTCCCCCGGATCTGCTTCTGGGGATCCCAAACTTAGGTAGAGCACTGTCTGGGGCTCTTGGTAAATTGTACCATGTAGCCCTTGTCCAAGTAAAACCTCGTGCGTTTCCAAGCAGCTGAAAATTCTAAGCAGCATTGAAAAGAAAAGGTCCTCATGGAAGGCAAGTGCACAGATTTAATGGTGAGAGGAGAGAAAGAGTCAAGACGGAGAAAGGAAGTGTGACTCTGCTTCTTGATCTCTTCCCTTACATTATTTAATCCTCACAGGGAACTGCTTTGCAAAATAAATCCCTTTATTCCCATTCCTGCAGATGAGGAAACTGAGCCTGAAAGATTGGTTAACTTGCCCAAGCTTCATAGACTTGGGCACCAGAGTTGGGTTCCCATGGTTCTCAAAAATGGGGATGCCGAGCACCTGGTGCCCCGATGGGCTGACGGGTCATAGTGAGTCTAACATACTAGATTCGAAATATCTAAGTGTCATCTCTTGCCAAATCACCGGCTAGAATCTGATCTACAGGGGCAAGAGGCAGCAGAGGTCAGGGAGTTAAGAGTTAATGGGAGGAAAACTTAAAATGCTGTCTGTCAACTTTTTTCCAATTTGGGAGGCAGAGTAGGAGCCCTGTTTGAGACCCTCTGTCCTCTGTCCATGCTGAGCTTGGATGAGCCTTCTGGTGATGATGGAGGGTTGCTGCCACACTGAGAAGGTTCCAGGTCCTCTCCAGCTGCTTCCCCAGGTTGTGATCCAGGGTCAGTAGGGATGGGCTGCCTTCTTCTGTTTACCCCTGGTTGCAGAGCTATAGTGATTCATTTTGTCCTCCAGAGAGGGACGGTAGGCATTTATGAGCAACTGCATATCTCCTCATTTTTCAGTAGAGGCCACTTCCTCTAGGATGGCTTCCCTGATCACTGCTCTACCACCACACACTGCACAGCACTGCACCATGAACCCCGCTGAGCCCATCATGATACTTCACTGAAATTTCCTGTTTGTGTCTCAAACCCTGAGCTGGCCATCCCTTATGCCTCTTTGTAGAACAGACACCTGCACATACTACCTGTTCAGTAAATCTGTGCATGGACAGATGTATCAGACATTGCTCTAGTTCCTGGAAATAAAAGATTTTTTTTTTTTTTTAAGTCATTTTTTTGCTCTCCAGAACTCACAGCCCAGCCGGGGCAGGGGCTAAACAGATGAGTAAGTACATAATAAAATTGTGGTTAAGAAACAAAGTGACTTGTTCTTGGTGATGTCATAGGAAGCCTTCCATAGGCATTGGGGTTTTAATAGCAACTTGATTTTAAATCAGTAGCCATCGGGGGCAGGCACAGTGTACACAGGGCTATGGAGATGTGGCACGGAATGACTCATTCTGAGAATTACAAGTAGGTCCAAATGTCTGGAGCACATCTCTACATAATGAACCGAGACAAATGAGAGGGGCCTTGACGTAAGGCTTTGAATTTCACACCCAGGAGTTTGGACTTCAGGCTACTTACATGGGGGGGCACCACTGAAAGGTTCTAATTGAGGGAAGGTCCTGATTATTTTAGAAAGATTGCCCAAGGGTCCCACCCGGAGGCAGCAGGTGCATCACCCTCCTCAAGGCTTTTCTCCATCAAGTCCTCCGCAGAGTCTGGCCCGCTGTGCTGGTGCAGTAAATACTGACACCTTTTAGATGGGGAGGGCCGGTGTGTTAGTCATCAGGGTTCTGCAGAGATGCCGAATGAGTGGGAGACATAGGGAGATTTACTATAAGGAATTGGTCATGCAGTGATGGAAGCTGGAAAGTCCCAAGGTCTGTGGTCCAAAGGCCTAGGAACCAGGAGAGGAGATGGTTAAATTCCAGTCCAGCTCTGAGGGCAAGAGCCATGTCCCTGCTCAAAGGCAAGGATGAAGCCTGTTCTCCCTTCGTCAGTCGTTCTTTTTTTTTTTTTTTTTTTTTTTTAAGATTTTTTTTTTTTTTTTGAGAGAGAGAGAACACAAATAGACAGAGAGAGGGGGAGAGAGAGAGAGAGAGAGAGAGAGAGAGGGAAGCAGGCTCCCTGCTGAGCAGAGAGCCCGATGCGGGACTCGATCCCAGGACCCTGAGATCATGACCTGAGCCGAAGGCAGCGGCTTAACCCACTGAGCCACCCAGGCGCCCTCGTCAGTCGTTCTTAACAGCCTTGGACTGGATGAGCCCCATGCGCATTGGGGAAGGGAATCTGCATTTCTCAGTCGATGGACTCAGATGTTCATCTCATGCAGGAACACCTCACAGAAACACCCAGAATAGTGTGGAACTAAACTGCTGGATGGATACCTCTTGACCCAGTCAAGTTGACACACAAAGTGAACCATCACAGAGGGAAGAGGATAGGCTCGGTGTACAAGAGCCATTGGGGGCAGAGGGAGACAGGGGAGGCCAGTTACTGAACTGACCTCAGCACTCAGCTGCTTCGGTGCCTACTCATTTCCTTCTTGACCATTGTCCTGTTGTCCTGATCTCGCTATTCTATATGTTCATATGTAACCGTTCTGTTTAAAAATTGTTTTTATAAGACAAAACTTAAAGTATCTACCTTTTTTCCCTCTGGTTTTTTTGTTTGTTTGTTTATTTGTTTTAACACAGAACCTGAGCAATCCTTTTAGAACTTTCTATGCTCAGAACCCTCTAGTTCCTCATGACGTTCAGAGTCACAGCCGGAGTAGAAATTTCTGCATGACCCGGCCCCTCTCACTTCTCTACCTTATCCTCTATCACTGCCCCCTCCCCGCTCTTCTTGCTGTTCCTCAAAGCAGACATGCTGTTTCCTGTATCTAGAACATATCCTGGGTACTCACAGGGCTAACTCCCTCACTTTGTTCAATCCTTTGCTCAGTGATCCCTGTCTCGGTCAGGCCTTCCTTGGCTGAAATTTGTTGAGATTTTTTAACACTGGTCCCATACCTTCTATGTTGTCCTTTACCCTGCTTAATTTTTCTGCATAGCATGAATCCAATCTTTACATATGATTTAATTTACTTATTTTTTTTTTTTATGTGTGATTATTTCTTCCCACTAGAATGTAAGCTCCATGAAGCTAAAAGTGGTTTGTCTATCTGATTTCCTGCTCTCTCCCCAGCACCTGAAGTGCTTCCTGGCCCCATAGGAAGCAGAGAGGTACATGAGACCACCATTTGGATATTGCACTTGTAGGCAAATTGACTTCTAAATGCTTTCTGTAAATCTGAAAGAAGGATGAGGCTTCATTTGCCTTTTAGATAAGGTCACTACTCAATAAATCCACCACAATTCCACTTCTGAGAGAAACAAGGCATTTCTTAGCGACCAGAGGCATCATGTCTTAGACATTGCTGTACACTCTCTGAGGGGGCGGGGACTTGGTCTGTACCACCCTCAATGCAGTCCTGGCCTAAAGTTGGCCAACAGGTGCTGAAGGCAAAAACAATATGAAAAGTATTCTTGGTTTTGTCTTTTCTCCTTTGCGGAGAATGTGTGGCGCTTACCACTGGTTACAGAGACCACAAGTGACAAGAAAAACAATTGTGGATTGAGTAATTCGATTTGTGTTAAATTCCCCTTTTAAGTTCAGTATTTGTGTGTATCCTGGTGTGTAAGGATATTCTTGTGTTTAAGTTCAGTATTGTGTGTATCCTTGATGAGCATGGACTCAGTAAACTTGATTGGGTAAAAGAATGGTGATGAGAAAACACATCTTTTTTTCTCCCTTAAAGGTGTTTCATGGGACTCACTTCCTGATGAGCTGCTCTTAGGAATCTTCTCCTGTTTGTGCCTCCCTGAACTCCTAAAGGTCTCCAGTGTTTGTAAGAGGTGGTATCACCTAGCGTAAGTATTTTTCAGTCCTCCCAGTATATGTGTGGGGAAAGGGGAGGGTTATCTATTTATTATATACATTGGGGCCTGGTGAAACAAAACTAAGAAAAATATAGTAGCAGAAAGAAAACTAGGTATCTTTGTACTTTTATTAATGATTAGTGTCTTTGTTTCACAGTGGAAGGGAGGGGAGGAGTCTCCTGGAGGTATAAACTTAACCACCTCAGAAAACTTTTTTCGATATTCATGTGTTATTGGATCCTGACTGTGGACCAGGTGATGCACTAGGAGTGGGGGGCTGCATGAAGGCCTGGCCACTCCCCACACAAGGGGCTGGGCAGTGAGTGCAGTGGGGAGAGCAGTATTAGGACTCAGTGTGAACCCCCCATTTCTGACACTCTACACTCTGTGGTGGGGGGGACGTACTTGACACTTCTGAGCCTTAGTCTCCCCCGTATATACAATGAGATCATAGTACCTTCCAGACAGGGCAGTGATGAGGGTAAAATCCCAAGATGTCGACGCAGTGCCTGGCTCGTGGAAGCGTAGGGCATGTGGTCGCCAATAGTCGTGGATGTCTTTGTTGGTTTGGGGGCACACCTTCAGGTTTGCACAGTGACCTGCACGTGGAAAGTCTCAGTGCACTGGAAGCAGTAACAGGCTAGAAGGGGCGGGGTGGGGGGAGGCTTTGTTTTTCAGTTGGAACTTCTTCCATCTATTCCACTTGTCCTCTCCAGCCAACCAACCACTAGCCATCCTGGGCACTTGAAGGCCGTCTGTGTTTCATCTCCCTCCACATATCTGTGGCTCTCACTGTGAGATGGCAAGAGCCCCTTACCCTCCATTCAGGCTCTGCAGGCAATAAGACATTACAGGCATTTCCAATGGTGGGCTTCTTGCTTAGAAGACCCTGGGAGGGGCGGAAGGGTGTGCATACCTGGAATGCTGGAGCGCCAGGTGGTGGAGTTGCACTGATGCACTGATCCCTCCCCGGTGACCCCATAGTGATTTTCTTTTTCATCCAGGTGTGCTCTTCATGCAGAGTCTATAAATCCTCACCTCAGTTGTCATGAGTAACAGGTGGCATCTAGGAAGCATTGCCTTCTTAATCATAGAGGTCACGTGATGCCTTGACAATTTCATCATGCAGAACTATTTCAGAGCCCAGCCAGTGGTCTGCTTATTTTAAGCAGTATTAAAAAATACAATTCTAGTAGGCATTTAAAATGTTCCCTCCTGTGCTTTAGCTCATGGGTTTTTTTTTGGTTTTTTTTTTTGCTAAGTTGAATTAATCTGTAGCTGTTAAACCTCCCTTTTTGTACTGTTCTGTACATTTTAGTACTTCATTTTTGCTTTAGAAAAACTATCCAAACTCTAAGTAATGTTTTTCCTCTCACATTAGTTCATACATATACATATATTTCTGTGCACACATACGCTTTTTTTTTTTTTTAAAGCTTAAAGGGTATTGTAAAACACCCAAGTGCCTTTGTAGGGTTCCTTATTCCTCATAGATATTTGATAGTCATATCACTTAATCAAGTGTAGTTGACCCTTAAGCAACATGGGGGTTAGGGGCACTGACCCTCCTGCCCACTTAAAAAATCCACGTGACTTTTAATTCCCCAAACACTTACTACTAATAGACCACTGTTGACCAGAAGCCTTACCCATGGCATGAACAGTCCATTAACACCTATCTTGTAAGTTAAATGTATTGTATATTCTTATTCTAACAATAAAGGATGCTAGAGAGAAGAAAATGTTATTAAGAAAATTATAAGGAAGAAAAAATACATTTACAGTACTGGAAAAAATCTGCATATAAGTGAACCTGCTCAGTTCAAGCCCATCTGCAAAGATCAGCTGTGGAGCTAACTTTCTTCCTTTTAGTTCTATTTCCGTGTTACTTAGGGTAATTGTGGTAACTCATGTATGCTTTACAAAAACACCAAGTGGGATCGTTGAGGCCATTTTGAACCTACCTACCTATTCAGTAATCAATTAAGTGATTGGAGCAATCATTTTTTAAGTTACTAAATTGTATCAAACACTAAAATTTTATTCTGTGGTTCCAGATCATTACATGGCTATGATAGCATTGAACCATCTGAAGGAAAAACATACGGATAGATATATGTGTGTATGTGTGTCTCTGTCTCAGTATGTGTGTGTGTTTGTGTATGTGTGTGCAAATGAAGGCAGAAGCTTATCCATGATACGAGCAAGAAATATTCATTTGTGTCTGAAAAAAAATACCATAGCTAGTTGTATAGTCAGCCCAAAACCGAAACTTCCTTCAGAATCTGCTTCAGGGTGATTCAGTGGCCAGAGCCTCCTTGTCGCGGGGTGGTATCCAGTGCCCTCAGCTTACTAAGGCCCCCCCTCTTTTCCAGGTTTGACGAGTCTCTGTGGCAGACTTTAGACCTCACAGGTAGAAACCTGCACCCGGATGTGATCGGTCGGTTGCTGTCTCGAGGAGTGGTTGCCTTCCGCTGCCCACGATCATTTATGGATCAACCATTGGCGGAACATTTCAGGTAAAAAAAGAAAAGCCCCCAGAAAAGGCTGTTTGTAAATCTTAAGGTGGAAACGGATCAAAACTTTGTTTCTTTCCCGTAACTTACGGCCTGTGACAAGTCTGTGCAGGGAAAGGCTAATAGAATTTTGCTGTGCAGTCTTTGTGTTGAAACACGGCACAGCTTTCAGTGATGCCGTTTCCACTCTTGGGCTCTTGCGGGGGGTCAAGAGGCACATTTGGCTTCCCTCAGGTGGGATCCTTGGAGGATGGGCACCATGGGCCCCGTGAGGCAGGAGCCATGCAGTGCACCCACTCGCACATGCAAGGCAGCCTCGCTCTTCCCACGCTGCCCGTTTCTGACAAAGACAGAGTATGAGGAGTCTTCTCAGATTTTGAAGCTCTGGGTATCTGATCTTATGGTGGACAAATTTGCAACCTGAGCAAGAATGCCTCTTTTTGTTCATTTTGTGGAGGATTTTGAAGAATGACTTCTCTTTCTGATAGTTTGGCGGTATGATTTAGAGCCATGGAGTGGAATAACTAGATACTGAACAGAAAAATAAGCTAAGAACAGCAGACTTAAGGACAAAACCTACATCCCGACTCTGGTACTTTCCTCTTCCCTCCAGGGTTATATGGCAGCACCCTTTTCTGCTGCTGGTTACCCTTGTCCCGTGGCTCTTCCTTCTGGGTCCCCTTCACGTGTGCACTTTCCTTGGCTACTCTGGGCTCTGTCCATGGTCCCTGGCTGCCTTCTCTTGATCCACACACTGGCCTCGGACACACTGTCTTATGTACCTGCCGTAGTGCTGGAACTTCCAGATCCTCTTCTCCAGTTCAGCCCTCTCTTTCAAACAAACGCCTAGGCCTAGTTACCTAGAAACTTCCACCCCTGCATTTCCTCCAGGTACCTTAGTGTTAGCCCCTTATAGCTGGCTCTTCCACTGTCTTTTCTGTTTTAGTAATTTACTCACTCATCTTTGCCTGCAGGATTCATAGGCATAACTTTGTCACCCACATTCAGCTCATTCTCATGATGCCCACGAATTAATTTCCTAAGTGGGACTGTATAAGCAGCACCATCTTGATTTGGCAGAAATTCTCCTGAATTTAATTTTTTTTAAAGACTTTATTTATTTGAGTGCGTGCACATGTGTTAAAGCAGGGGGGAAGTGGAGGGAGAGGGAGAAGCAGACTCCCTACTGAGGAGGGAGTCCAGTGTGGGGCTTGATTCCAGGACTCTGGGAACATGACCTGAGCCGAAAGCAAATTCTTTTTTTTTTTTTTTTTTTTTTTAATTTATTTATTTGACAGACAGATCACTAGTAGGCAGAGAGGCAGTCAGAGAGAGAGAGGAGGAAGCAGGCTCCCCACTGAGCAGAGACCCCTTTGCGGGGCTCGATCCCAGGACCCTGGGATCATGACCTGAGCTGAAGGCAGAGGCTTTAACCCACTGAGCCACCCAGGTGCCCCCGAAAGCAAATTCTTAATTAACTGAGCCACCCAGGCGCCCCCTGAAATCCTCCTGAATTTTAAAATGAATGAGGGGAGGGAGTTATCTAGTAGCAGTTTATTTTAAGACTGAAACTGTGGGGCGCCTGGGTGGCTCAGTGGGTTAAGCCTCTGCCTTTGGCTCGGGTCGTGATCCTAGGGTCCTGGGATCGAGCCCCGCATTGGGCTCTCTGCTCAGCGGGGAGCCTGCTCCCCCGCCCACCCCGCCTGCCTCTCTGCCTACTTGTGATCTCTGTCTGTCAAATAAATAAATAAAATCTTTAAAAAAAAAAAAAAAAAAGACTGAAACTGTACTACTTAAATGTGTATTTGGGGGTCATGTTTGTGATTGGCGGCTCATCTGGGGAGGAGATGGGGTTGGATTTGATTTGGAGGTATGTGTGTAAGCCCCCTTAACAGAGCCTCTCTTTTCCTTCCTCTGTGCCCAGCCCTTTCCGTGTGCAGCACATGGATCTGTCCAACTCTGTAATTGACGTGTCTACCCTCCATGGCATTCTGTCACAGTGCTCCAAGTTGCAGAACCTAAGCCTGGAAGGCCTGCAGCTGTCAGATCCCATCGTCAAGTGAGTGGCCATCAGGAACACGTGACAAAGGCAGTTGTTTTGACGGGTGTTAACTTCCTTTTCTGAATATAATCTGGGTGCCCTTCTGTCCATGTCCAGATGGACTCAGAAAAGAGCCATGGGGTGCCCTGGTTTCTGCAGGACTCATCCAGGCCACCCAAGTTCACATGCTAACTCTGTGCCGGGCCTTATGCCAGGTTCCAGACATACAGGGATGATGAGTAAAGGCAAGGTCCCTGCCTCATCCGTGGGAGAGACGGATAATTACAGTGCAGTGTGTTTGTTACATGCGTCGGTGGATACGAGGCATCACCCCGGAGAGACCTAGTTAAAATGAGGGAGGGCAGCCGCCTTAGAGGGAGTGACTCCTAAGCTGAGGATGGAAGGTATTCAGGTTAGAGATCGCCGGGTGATGAGGTAAAGGAGCCCACGAGGTAAAGCTGCCTGTGTGGTTCTAACCGGTGTGGCAGGCGGGAACTTGCGGAGCACGGGGTGCCGTGAGGAGACCCGGGAAGGGGGGAAGCAGCTCAGAACAGGCCCCTGCCATACTGTAGGAAGTCTGGACTCCGGGGCAAAGGGGAGCGTGCCAAAGAGAGGGGTCCTGAGAATGGAGAGGACGTGCAGAGTGGAAGTTTAGATAAAGAATCTGCTGGGCACCTGGGAGGGCTAGCCAGCTGTGGAAAAAACTAGACTAGCGAGATGCTGTTGTGTTCATTCAGGTGAGAAATGATGAAACCTGATGTAAAAAAAATAGCAGTAGTAGCGTTAGAATAAGTTTCTTGAACACTATGTACCAGATACTCGGTTCTTCAAAGGTCACCCCTGACGTAAGTTCTGATTGTTCCCCTTTTTACAAATACAGAAACTGAGGCACGGAGAGGCTGAGTAACTTGTCTGAGCTCACATAGTTTATAGGTGGCAGAACCACGATTTGAATTTGGCTGTAGAGTATGATTCCAGAACTCTCGCTCTTAATCATGGAGTTCCACTAACACAGGCTTTTAGGAGTGTAGAGAAGGCAAATCTGAGAGATGTTTACTTGGAAGAACGTGGAGACTCAACACGTAGTAGTGTGGCTACAAGCTAATGCTAATTATGGGTAAAATAGAGATGATATTTATTCAAGCACTCTTTTTTCAATTTAAAACCTACATTGCTTGGTGTTTTGGGGTTTTTTTTGGAAGACTTTATTTATTTGACAGATAGAGATCACAAGTAGGCAGAGAGGCAGGCAGAGAGAGAGAGAGAGGAGAAAGCAGGCTCCCTGCTGAGCCCAGAGCCTGATGTGGGGCTCGGCTCAATCCTAGGACCCTGGGATCATGACCTGAGCCAAAGGCAGAGACTTAACCCAGTGAGCCACTGAGGCGCCCCTGTTTGGTGTTTCTTGTGTGGTTCCTTTGTGCCAGGCATTGTGCTGAGTCCCTTATCACATTCTATAACTTAATCTTGACACTACTAAGAAGGTACTGATTCTGCCATTCCACAGATGAGTAAACTGAGGCAAAGCATCCTGCTTGCTGTCCTACAGAGTGAGACGTGAACTGAAACTCACTTCTGGTTGTAAGGCCTGTGTGCTTAGCTGCTGACTTCTCTAGCCTGCTTTCCTCAGAATGCTTACTGACATTCGCCTTTTTTTCCCCAGTAATCTTGCACAAAACTCGAATTTAGTGCGACTGAATCTTTCTGGGTGTTCTGGATTCTCCGAATCTGCCCTGAAGACCTTGCTGAGCAGCTGTTCCAGGTAGGAAGGATTGGAGACTTGGTTATACAACTGTTTTTGCAAATATATGACTATCCCTCCCGTGAGCGAGGCATTGGATCTATTTCTTGAGCTATTCCGAACTCTGAGCTCTTGGTGATACGTAATATCCTTTACCCTCTAAACTTCCTGTTCAACCTGAGGAGCCAAATCAGTCAGGTTGGCAGAGGCTACTTGGGTAGTAATCCGCCTCTTTTTCTTCACTTGAAAATAAGAAAAATTTGGTATGTGTTTATTGAAATTAATTTCTTTATACCTGACTATAAGTCAGGCTTTTTCCCTATAGTATCTGTAGACCTAACTTAGCGGATATCATAGATCTGGGTGACTCCATTAAAAACATCTTTATATTGTGTAATAGTGTCAGTATATAAAGAAAGGTACAGTGGCAGCCATTTCTAAGTGAGAGGAGGACGTGGCTCACAGAATACTTTGTGTGTGTGCTTTTTAATAGCCCTTGATCTTTCCTCTCTGGCATTGTATGTATGTCTCTTTAATGACCTGCTGAAAGTAGATTGCCTTAGGATAAGAGTGTTACCATGAGAGAGAAATGTATAACCCTCCATTCGTTCTGCAATGTCAGGAATGGGGTGTGTGGCTTAAACGGTGGATATTGTCTTTGAATTCATTGGCTCAGTCAGCACAAGCTAGATAAGATGAAGTGGGCTTTTGCAATGTCGCTGTCTCTTTATTGGGAATCCCTGGTATAACCCATCAACTTTTTAAAGCCTCTGGAGTGGTTGGTTCAGCCTCTGCTGTTTGCGGACAGCCTGGGTGGTTGAGAAAGAAAACGAGGCTGGAGCTGCTCCACTTGGTCCTGTAACCTGTGGGAGCCCTCAGGAGGAGCGGAGAGTGTTCCCTCCATTTCCAGAAGGGGGCAGCACTTACTAAGGTTTGGGCTTAGTTCCGCTGGGGCACACCAGGGCAGGGGAGCATTTCAGGAGGGGAGAAGGCAGTCTCAGGTGAGCAGAGACAGCTGTCTAGAGAAGCAGAGGTTCTCTGCGTGAAATGGTTAGGAATCTGTGGCTTCGTGTTTTCTCTGCAGCTCTGAGTCAAGTGCTTTCCTAGAGCTCATTCCTGGGTCCCGGTTTCATGCTTTCCCTATTTCTCTTCTGTGCAGATTGGATGAGCTGAACCTATCCTGGTGTTACGACTTCACCGAAAAGCATGTGCAGGTGGCTGTCGCGCATGTGTCCGAGACCATCACCCAGCTCAATCTCAGCGGCTATCGGAAGAATCTGCAGAGATCAGGTAAGCCCCTCCGGGCCCTGGACCCTGCCAGGCAACGAGGGCGGCAGTAGGTGTGATTTCTTGGAGAGCGCCTCTAAGTACTGCCCTGCGTCGTTTGTCTCCTTGAATCCAGGACTCCTGTTCTTAGTGGTGTTTTTCAGGTGTGGTGGCGGCTGATCTGAAGGGGTGGGTAAAGGCAAACAGCTGGTGGGGCGGCATCGAGATCAGAATCCAGAATCTCCAAGTGGAAACCTTTCTACTTGAAACCAATTTATTTCTAAGCAGCACTTCTTTTAATCTGCTAAATGAGTGGGTAAGACCTGCAGCAGGAAATGAATGCCGTGTTTGATCAGTATTCAGTGGTTCTCAACCAGCGCCAGTTTGCCTGCAAGGGGACATTTAGGGAGGTCTGGAGACGGTTGTTAGGGCCACGGCCGCGGGGGTGTTCCTGGAAGCTGCTGGGCAGAAGCCAGGAATGCTGGTAAGCAGAGTGCCCAGGACAGCAGAATAACACAAAAGATAATCTGATCCAAAATGTCAGTAGTGCCAAGGTTGAAGCCCTATTATAAACTCTGTGAGTTCATGTTTAAAACTCCTTTTAATTCAATCTAAGACGATGATGAGGTGGTTTAGTTGAACACGGACATTTGAAGTGAGAGGTAATGTGTGATCGTTAGCCGTCTTTATAAGCCTACATATTCAGTTATGCTTTAATTGTCTAATATTGGCAGAATCCTGATCAGCAGAGATACGTGTTTGCAAATGGCATAGATTTTTTTTTTTTAATTAACATATAATGTGTTATTTGCTTCAGGGTTACAAGTCTGTGATGCATCAGTCTTACACACTTCACAGCACACACCGTAGCACATACCCTCCCCAACATCCATCACCCCGCCACCCCAGCCCTCCCACCCACCTCCCCTCCAGCAACTCTCAGTTTGTTTCCTGAGATTAAGAGTCTCTTATGGTTTGACTCCCTCTCTGGTTTCGCCTTGTTTCATTTTTCCTCCCTTCCTGTATGATCCTCTGTCTTGTTTCTCAAATTCCTCATATCAGGGAGATCATATGATTAATTGTCTTTCTCTGGTTGACTTATTTCACTTAGCATAATGCCCTCTAGTTCCATCTATGTCATTGCAAATGGCAAGATTTCATTTCTTTTGGTGGCTGCATAGTATTCCATTATATATATATACATCACATCTTCTTTATCCATTCATTTGTTGATGGACATCTAGGTTCTTTCCACAGTTTGGCTGCTGTGGACATTGCTGCTATAAACATTTGGGTGCACATGCCCCTTCGGATCACTACGTTTGTATCTTTGGGGTAAATACCCAGTAGTGCAATTGCTGGGTCGTAGCATAGCTCTATTTTCAACATTTTGAGGAACCTCCATGCTGTTTTCCAGAGTGGCTGCACCAGCTTGCATTCCCACCAGCAGTGTAAGGGGTTCCCCTTTCTCCGCATCCTCGCCAACATCTGTCATGTCCTGACTTGTTAATTTTAGCCATTCTGACCAGTGTGTGGTGGCATCTCACTGTGGTTTGGATCTGTATTTCCCTGATGGCCAATGGCACAGCTTGTTTGAATGGCTTCCCCTCGCGATCCCAGGCCGTGGGCGATGCAGAGCCTCGCCGAGCTAGCAGCACACCTCAGCCGTGTCTTCAGGACTTGGTGTTGGCTCATGAAAATGCTTTGTTTTTATGGTTTTTGTGATACTCTAAAAGATTTGAATCAAACAGTTGCAGAGTGTGTCTTCCTAGAATGTAAGCAGTATTTGTAAACTGCTTCATCAGGACAAGATGCCAAGTTCAGTGTATCAAGGTATCGTGAAGAGGACCTGGGTTCTTGGGGGTAGCTGGGGGCTTGAGGCCTTTGCTGGGCTCCAGTCCGGATGCCTGCAACTGCAGACAGGGGAACATTTTCTTTAGACAGCTGTGAGAGCAGCAGTGTGTCTGTCTTCCCGCTCTCCCCTACACATAGGGGAGTTGTGTTCTACATTTTTTTCCCTCTTAAACATTATTTGGAATCTGATGACAGTCCTATATAGTCTTTCTCAAAAAGACATATACTATGGGAAAAATCATCAGTAATCTCAGTAACCTCTTGCTGGTCTTTTTCCTGCATAGAAATGTTTATTAAAGTGGGACATAATGCATGAAATACTTTGCAGTATGCTTCCCCCCCCCCCAGATAATCCCATTTTAGTAGCTGCACCCCATCATTTTCGGTGGCTGTGTGGTAGTCCGTCAAGTAGATATGGAATAATTTGTATCAATTGAATAATAATTTCTTCACTTGATCTCCTTATAATGGACTTTTAGAGTCTTTCCAGTTTTTTCCTTTTTTAACAACCTTGTCACGGACAGAGACAAATCTTGGAGTGCATTTCTAAGGGTGGATTCTTCTAAGTGAGTTAAGGATTAGGATCTGTTCTTAAGCTTTGGGTCGTTCTTGCCAAATGACCTTCCAAGGATGTTAAGCTCCCACCAGCGAGCAGCCTCTTCACATTGAATCCCACCACCAGGTCTTTCCTGTTCATCCCTGCGCCGAGAAAAGGCAGTGCCTCATTGACATTTCCCTCCTGTATCTGAATTTCCCGTTGCTTTAATTGAATGAAAGAAGGTTCTTGGTGCAAGGTTGAGAAATTCTGCTGTAAGCAAGCTGTGTTGGGCCTAAAACTCTTCTCTTTGTTCCTCCAGAAAAGGAGAAAGAGCCTGTTTACCAAGCTCTGGCCAGAATAATAGGTAATAAAATCCTGCTTGCTGGACACATTCAGGGCAAGGACAAAGATCTGGAGTTGAAGTGTGTGTGTTCTTAGTTACACAGTGGGAATTGGGAGATTTTTTTAACAGTGGCACCCACTACTTCACCATTTAGAAGATGGTATGAATGTCCTTTTAGCTCCTACACTGGCGCCAGTCCACCCAGGTTCCAGTTCCTGCTCTGCTGTTTACTGGGTAGTCTGAAGCAAGTTGCTGAACTTCCCTGTTCCTCAATTTCCTCATCCGTAAAACGGAGATAGTAGTGGAAGCCATCTCTTAGGATCACAGTAAGGAGTAAATGGGTGAATCCCACGGAGCGTGTTACCTAGTAAGTGTGCAGTGATCGTTGCTGTTATTTTTGCCACCCCCGTGGGGCAGTAGGGAAGCACTGCCTGGGGTCCTGGAGGACCAGCTCTTGGTCTTGGATTTGACCTTGACTTCTCTACATGAAATCATCTCTCTCCTTGAAATGACAGGTTAGATTTGGGGGTTTATAAGATGCCTTCTGGCGCAGGTGGATCTCCAGCTCATGGCAAAATGAAGGGGACAGCGTGTAGAGAGAATCTTAGCAGTGACTACTGTTTACGAGCCCTTTCCGCTGAGGGATGCCAGGGCTTAAGTGAGGGCTGGAGAGTACCAGTTCTACCCAACCACCCCCCTCCAAGGTTTTGTTCTTTCCTAGGTGGCATCAAATGAGATTGGGTCTAATTGGGGATTTGGGGGATGGCTAGTGGGCTGGCTGGGTGATGGGTCTCTCAAAATTGTACTGTGCCCTTCTTCATTTTTTTAGTCACTCATTAGACAAATGTTTATTGAGCACTGCTGATGCACAGAGCCCTGTTCCTGACTTGGGAGCTGTGACCTTGAACAAAACCGAGGAAGTCACCCCTGTGCAGCGTACATACTGGCAGGGAAGCCAGGCAGCCCACAAACAACAAAATGTGGTGAAAGGAGGGGAGGAGAATGTTGGCCAGAGGGGGCTGTTTTCAGATGGAATGGCCAAAGAGAGGGCCTCTGCCCAGAAGTGACACCTGAGTAGAGGCCTGATTGGGTGATGGTGGGACCTCTTTAGATAAGTAAGGAAAGAACATTCTGGAACAGCAAATGCAAAGCCTCAATATGGAAACCAGTGTTAGAGGGAGCAAGGAGCACAATGATAGGAGGTAAGATAGCCCAGGGTTCTCTAAGCCAAGGCAGAAGCTTTGTTCGGATTTTCTCTGAGTGAGATGGGAAGCCCCCGTAGCATTTTGAGGAGGAAACGATAGGGTCTGACTCCACTTTAAATGTCGTCTTCTAGTCCTGTGTTGAGAAAAGGCTGTAAAAAACGGTGGGGGTTGGGGGGCGGTGGTGACGTAGGACGTGGTAAGAAATGATCAGACATTAAAAAGCCAACAGACTGGATGTGGGATGTGAGAGAACAGTTGAGCGTGCCTCCTGGGGTTTCGGCCCAAGCAGCTGGATTGGTGACGTTAGCACTTTCCCAGAGACAGGGAAGACTTAGGAAAGGACCAGATTTAGAGGAGAAATAACTATTGGCTTTTAGGCCTGAATTTGAATTGCCTGTCCCACATCGCAGTGGATGTATCAAGACAGTTTAAAAGATTTTATTTATTTATTTGTGAGAGAGAGAGAGAGAGGATGAGAGAGAGAGAGCATGAGAAGAGGGAGGGTCAACGGGAGAAGCAGACTCCCCACTGAGCAGGGAGCCCGATGCCAGACTCGATCCACACTCCAGGATCATGACCTGAGCCGATGGTAGTCACTTAACCAACTGAGCCACCCAGGCGCCCTATCGAGATAGTTTAAAATGCAAGTCTAAGATTCAGGGGAGGGAATGGGGCTGAAGACAGAACCGTGGGAAGAAAAGGCCCCAACTGTGAATGAAGCTTACTTACTTTAAAAATAAATAACATATATTGATTGATTTTCTTTTTCTTTTTTTAAGATAAAGTGAGGAGGGGGAGAGGGGCAGAGGAGAAGCAGAGGGAGAATCCTAAGCAGAACCTGATGCTGGGGTGGGGAGGGGTGTGAGGTGTGGGTCTTGATCTCACGAGCCTGAGATCCTGACCTGAGCTGAAATCAAGAGTCAGACGCTCAACCAACTGAGCCACCCAGGCACCCCTATTGATTCATTTTCTGAATACAAAATAACACATGTGACTCTTCCAAGTTTTGAAAAGCTACCTGTAATCCCACCATCCTTGAGTGTATTTCCTTCCAGCCTTCCCCTCCTACCCCCAACCCCATGAACTTTTTCTGTCTGTGAATTTGTGTATAAATACGAGTTTGGGGAGATTCCTGGGTGGCTCGGTCAGTTAAGCATCTGCCTTGGGCTCAGGTCCTTGGGATCGAGCCCTGCTCAGCGGAGAGCACGCTTCTTCCTTTGCCTGCCACTGTCCCGGCTTGTGCTTTCTCTCTCTCTTTCTCTCTCACGAATAAATAAAATCTTTAAAAATAAATATGAGTTTTTGCATGTGTTTTTACTAAATTGAGATTATAATGCATTATACGTATTTTGTTTTCACTATACAATATATCTTGAGTATTTTTTCATGTCATGAAGTGCGATCTAAAAGCTTTTGAGTGACTGCCATTGGCATTGTGTTCCACAAAATGGATGGAGGTGAATGAATTAAAATAATTGGGGAAGGGGCTATTACAACTATTGCTGAAATGAACGTCTTCATGCATACCTCATTGTTTTTCTAAAAGTGGAATTACTGAGCCAAAGAGCCAAGTGTATAATGCTCAAAACACACCAAAAACTCAGTTCACTCTAAAGAAAATGAGTTTGCTCCCCTGAAAGGCTGCATAAAATTAAATATCCACTTGTATATGTGAGACCTGCTTTATTATATTTCATCAATTCTGGATATTATGATAGAATTTTTTTTTTCATTTGATAGCTGAAAAGCAGTATTTTAGGAGCACCTGGGTGGCTCAGTGGGTTGGGGCCTCTGCCTTCGGCTCAGGTCATGATCCCAGGGTCCTGGGATCGAGCCCCGCATCAGGCTCTCTGCTCAGCGGGGAGCCTGCTTCCCCCTCTCTCTGCCTGCCTCTCTACCTACTGTGATCTCTGTCTGTCAAATAAATAAATAAAAACTTAAAAAAAAAGGAATATTTTAATTTTATTTTTACTTTCTTGCACCATTTTTCTCTCTGTTTGGCCAAGTATCACTTCCATATTTTTTGCCCATTTTCTATGTTTATCTTTCTTTACTCTTTATATAAGACCATTAACACTCTGTTTAATGTTGGAAACATTCCCAGTTTCCTGATACTTTTTAAATTTTGTGTTTTGTTTTGCTTTAACATGGTAGACTTAAAACTTTTATGTAGTAAATTACCGCTTTCCTTTATGTTTTCCTTTGTGTTTAGAAAATCTAAGATCCAATGAATAATTACCCTATATTTATGCATTTTAGGACCTTTTCATATACGTGGGATTTATTTGGTTATATTATTTGAGTTGGAGAAATAAGTTTTTTTCTGCTTGTAGTAGCAGTGTCACTTTTTAAAATAATCCATGATGTCCCCCATTGGTTTAAAGTGCTACTTTTTTTTTTTTTTTAAGATTTTATTAATTTATTTGACAGAGAGAGATCACAAGCAGGCAGAGAGGCAGGCAGAGGGAGAGAGAGAAGCAGGCTCTCTTCTGAGGAGGGAGCTTGATTCAGGGCTCGATCCCAGGACCCTAGGATCATGACCTGAGCCAAAGGCAGCGGCTTAACCGACTGAGTCACCCAGGCGCCCCTTAAGTGCTACTTTTATTATACGTTATTTGTTTATAGATGATGGTGTTTGGTTTTGCATTTTGCTAGTGTAAGTGGGATTTTTTTTCTTTTTTCCCCACCTAGGTATTGCAAATACATAGCTAAGCTGTGGATTGTTATTAACTTACCATATTACATAGTTCTCTTACTATTTCTAGTTGATTCTCTTGGATTTTCTGGATTCAAAATCTTACATACCAAGATGATGATTTGGTGTTTTCTTTCTCATAGTGTGACTCTAATTGCATTCATTGTTCCGAGCTTCTAGCACCAAGTTAAATGATAGTGTTGATAACAAATATCCTTGTCTTGTTCCTCATTTAATAGTGACCATCGTTTTTTTTTTCCCTAGATGTCTCTACCTTAGTTGGAAGATGCCCCAATCTTGTCCACCTAGACTTAAGGTATTTTTGTTTTCATTTATTTATTTTAAAACAAAAATTGAAAAATCATGACTGCTCATTAAAGGTAGAAAGGATCTTAACTTGTTGAATTGAATGAACCAAACAGTTGGTTATTTCCGTTTTCTCCATCTGAACTGATATGTAGTTCAGTTTGAATCAGTTTGAATCTTCTCTTCTGCTCTGTTGCAGCGATAGTGTCATGCTGAAGAATGACTGCTTTCCGGAATTTTACCAGCTCAACTACCTCCAACACCTCTCACTCAGTCGGTGCTATGACATTGTACCTGAAACTTTACTGTAAGTATTTCATTTTCTAAAAGTAGGAGAAGACAGGGAACAAGAGAAGCCACTTGGGGTAGTATTTGTTATTATTAATAGCAGGTGTTTAAAACTTGAACATCTGGAGGGGAGACAGGTGGGAGGGAGGGAGGGTAACTGCGTGACAGGCATTAAGGAGGGCACGTGATGTGATGAGTACTGGGTGTTGTGTGCAGCTGATGAATGACTGAACTCCACATCAGAAACTAATGATGTACTATGTGTTGACTAATGGAATTTAAATTAAAAATAAATAAAACTTGAACATCGATATGGGTGTACTACAAATAGGTTAGGGAATTCCAGCAAAACAGAAAAACCAAGACACAATTTTTTCCTTAAAAAATCTTGGAAAGTTGACTGGGATAGTTTACTGAACATTTATTATTTAGTTAGAAGCAGGTTTAAATATTAGAATACCATACTCTAGTATCTGGAAGACTTGAAAAAGGAAAAATCCTTCTTACCTCCAGGGAGCTCAGAGTATAACCGGGGAGGCAGACCCAGTGGGGGCTTTCCCCCCAACATTTTTCAAATCAACTCCCGATGACTCTGACAGACTCCCTCTGGGCTGAGAGGAAAGTTCTGTAATCTTCTAGTGATGTCTGTCCTGGCCGGTGGTCAAAGAATGGGAAGAATGGCATCACGTAAACCATAAACGGTAAATGTCATGAGTCCAGTGCTGTCTTGGAAGGGGGGAGACTGAAGTCCAAAAGAGTGAAGTGACTTAACCTGAAACTATAAAGTGAGTTAAAGGCGAAGCGAGGTCTGCATGCTAGGTTTTTTAGATGGATGAAAATAGTCTGGCTAATCCAGTGGCTCTTATGAGGGTTAATTTTGTTTCTGCTCAGCAACTTCCACAAATCAAGGGAGAGCAAAAGTTGCTGGTCTTTCTTTTAGAAGGTGCTGTTCTCAAGTCTTCTTAGAAATAACATTGTCTTTTTATTTTTTTAAAGTTTAAAACTTTAAAAAAGTTTAAAGTTTAAAAAAATTTTTTTAAAGTTTTTATCCCCAAAGGACTGGAAAATCCTTCCTCATGTAGGATGTAAATGTATAGCAGTTCTATTGAAAACCACAAGAAGTCAGTTCCAGCCGATATACCCTGATTGAGGCCACTGCCACATGTAGCTCACTGTCCCAGAGAATGTCATTTAGCTTCTGGTTCCTACCAAGAAGCATGGGGAGTTTGAACAAAGAATTTATGTAGTTCACAAATGATTGGTTTGGATCTTCTAAGTTAAGTTGCAAGAATTAATAAATGATACTTCAGCTATATAGGGTTAACTAGTAGAATTAGAAAATCCAGTAATTATATTTTTAATTAATCACTTTAATTAATCTTGGGGCTCAGGGGCTCAGCCAGTATTTCGTTTGAAAGAGCACTGCCTAAAAGGGATGGCAGTCTTTACTTCCATGTGTCTCAGACGGTAGGGTGTGAACTCATGTACAAGGAACCCTTGTTGAAATCTTGTGCCCTGTGCTAACCAGAACTCCTAGGAGCCTCTAGTTTCCATCCAGAAAGGCGTCCCTGTCACCTCTCTCTCCTATCTTGCCCTCTGGGCGTCAGCATCATTGCCCGTGCAGCCCCTGGGGATGATAGTGATCAGTCTTTTTTGGTTGCTTTTCTCAAGAGAATCTGTTCCCATGTCTCACTTCTGTTCTTTTTCTCCAGAGAAAGAAGCTAAGCAGGTAATTCCCAGATGCTTTTTCTCAAGCAGAGGCTAAGGGAAGGCTGTGAGCTCTCACAGTTTAGTATTTTTATCCAGTAGGATAATAACACCTACGGAGTCCTGCCTGCAGGCAGTGTGAGTTGCTGCTTAAGGGCACAGACCTCAAGTCACAGACCTACGTTTGAACCCTCACTGCCTTGTGACTTGTCCTAACCTTATCTTGAAATAAGAGAAACGGGCATGGGGAGTTCGGTTACAAATCAGATCACCAAAAATAATGAGAACAGAGAGAAAAAAGATGCTCTCCTTGTACTTCAAGGTAAAAGAGTGTGTTTCTTCAGGCATTATGTAAATAGTACGCTGGTTAACCTTATGAATCCATTAAATGAGTTTGCCCATGACCTATCCTTAGACGTTTCTTAAGATAGACTGTTATTTTCTCTAATTTCATTCTGGCAGCTGACGTACTCGAAATTCACAGTAAGAATTCCAGGATCCTCGAGGAATAGTAATTCTGAGAAAGCCATTTATGCTAAAGAATTTTTATTTCTTAGAAGTGGGAAAATAAGGCACCTGGGTGGCTCAGTGTGTTAAGGCCTCTGCCTTCGGCTCAGGTCATGATCTCAGGGTCCTGGGATCGAGCCCTGCATCGGGCTCTCTGCTCGGCTGGGAGCCTGCTTCCCTTCCCCTCTCTCTGCCTGCCTCTCTGCCTACTTGTGATCTCTGTCTGTCAAATAAATAAATAAAATCTTAAAAAAAAAAAATAGAAGTGGGAAAATAAAATTTGAGTGACTTTCTTCTGTAATGCTAGTGCTTTAGACTACTTGGGAAATGAGGTTTTTCTTCTGCAGGGTATGTCCGCATTGTGTCTAGTCCTTTCGGCCTGAATTGATTTTATTCCAACTATGTCCAGACTTTCTTCTGATCATTCAGTATTTCTCACCCAAGTAAGAAAGCCACACTGGAGCCAGTGAACTGATCTGAGATTGGGAGAGACTAAGTAGAAAGTCAGTGTAGGAGAATTTGTAGTTAGGCATTGATTAATTACATATGGTACATACTAACTAATAGTTACAAATATAGTTACTAAATAATATTGTTACATACTTACTAATAGATTTTATAAGGAAAATAGGAATGTGTAGTTGAGGTAAAGTGTGAACCTGTGAAAGGGTCTGTAAGTATCTTTTGTTTACTCAGATGAAACAAAGATACACAAGACATTATCAAACAATAACACACAAAGGTACACGAGACACAGGGACGCCTGTGGCTCTGTTGGTTGGGCCTCTGCCTTCAGTTCAGGTCATGATCCCAGGGTCCTGGGACTGAGTCGATTCGGTTTCCTTGTTTGTTCAACAGGGATCCTGCTTCTCCCTCTGCCTGCCTCTCCCCCTGCTTGTTCTCTCTCTCTCTAACAAATAAATAAACAAAATCTTAAAAAAAAAAAAAAAAAAAGACATTATCAATGTTCCTTTATACTTCTTAAAATTGGAAACAATGGCTCTTCATTGCTATTTACTGTCCTTCAGTTGCTTTTCAGTCTAAAGAGTTGCTTATAAATTTGTTGTGTTGTGTTGTAGATGACACGTGTACTAAGGGGCTTTTGACGCTTATTTTGTTTCATCCCCTTAAAATTTTAAAAGACTTTCTGGCTTTTCGATATGGATCATTCCCCGTCCCATGGTATGCAGTTCACTCCTTTCTCACTTAGGATACCTGCATGTCTCTGAGAGTCTGCTGTCCTTTCCTTACGCCCACCAAGGTTCCTTCCCAGTGCTGTTGTGAGAACATTCTTCTTCTGCCATCTGCTGCGCACCCTTTGCTGGCTCCCACCTGCAGTGTCTGCTTCTGAGTCTAATTCCGTCCACTGTAGAAGGACTTACAGTTTGGCTAATTCGGATATCCCAGCACCCAGATTCTCATTACAAAGTTCTCAAATACTCGGATTTCACATAAGAGGGATTTAAGATTTAAGGTTGGGGCAGAATTGCTGTCATCTTAAGGGATTTTGCGTATAAACGTCTATGTGCTGTGACCTTTCTTTGCACTCCTGCTGCTGTATTCCAGAGGTTAGTTTACTTTAAGAAGAATGGTACTTCACTATTCCTGATTTTCTTTTTTGGCTGTTGTAACCTCCAGATCGTATTGTCCTTTTATGAACACCAAGCATTTTTATTTTACTTAGTCATTTTCTAAGCCTTCATCTTTATTCAGCTAATATGTATTAAACATCTGTGGTGTTTAATACACTTGTTGAGTGTAGAATAAATACATTTAGGGGGTAGTAGGGTGACCGGGAGGGTGGGTTGAACATGGAAAGTCCTAAGGCCGGCAGAACAGTTTGAGTTCCGTAAACAAGAGGGCAGCATCAAAGGCTTGGGGATGGAGGCGGTGGAAGGGTGACGTCATCTTAGCTAAGCTTTCGGAAGATGCCTTGGACATTGGCATATAGAATAGACTGGAAGGAAGAAAGAGAGGAGGACAGGTGACAATTACTATGAAGAAAGTTTGTGTTTTTAGTGATTATTGGCAATATGAAAATACAAAGGATGCTGCTGACACTAGGTCATTGATGTGTTCATCGATCTGCAGTGGGATTTTGTTGATATTCCTAACTAAATATTCCCTTTCCTAAGACTTTGTACTCTGTGTCCCAACCTGGAGCAAATACAGATCAGAGAGATGAATTTCTGAGTACAGAGATCTGAGTTAAAGAAGAAAGAATTATTACCTAAAAGTATTTACTTTGGGGAAACAGGCTCCCTTTTTTGTGACCAGAATGTCACTGTGGACAGACTTGTGTTTCACTTAATGGGAAAGAGCTGAGAAGAGGATTGGCATATATGCAACCAAAAAAAAAAAAAAAAGGTAATATGTAGGGAAGTCAGATGGCTTTCTTTTCCCTCTCATAGAAAAGGTGTGACCAGTTAGTTACTCCTTTTCTCCATCTGCAGCCAACTACATAGCCTTGTTTACAGTACTTTTGCAAAGTCGTTGTTAGGTTTTATCACAGGTTATGGACTTACTAAGAAGTTACCATAACTTCTGCTGCTCATCTTTTGAGAGGAGGAGACTAGTTCAAATAAAGGTCAAGTCCATGCTTGGAAATCACATATAACCTGAGGTGATTCAGTAAATCCTCTCAATTTAAATCAAGAATAGAGAAGGGTAACAACTATGGTTGGATTTTAAATAAACCTCAGTGGTTAGGTTGTGAGAAAACATGTAATAAAATGCACCTGCGTGGGCCCTAAGGCCATGTTGTCCAGGCTGTGGTCCACGCTCTCTGGTTTCACTCACCTTTGCTGTTTTCTCGGGTCATGGATGGCACGTGGTGTTTTCAGTGGGCGCTGTATAGACTGTGGTACAAATGGTAAAAATTGGGTCATGTGACTTGCGTGGATCAGTCACCGTAGATCCTGTGACTCTGAAAGGTCTCTCTTCCTTTCCAGTGAACTTGGAGAAATCCCCACACTAAAAACACTACAAGTGTTTGGAATCGTGCCAGAGGGTACCCTTCAGCTATTAAAAGAAGCCCTTCCTCATCTACAGATTAATAGTTCCCATTTCACCACCATCGCCAGGCCGACCACTGGCAACAAGAAGAACCAGGAGATCTGGGGCATCAGATGCCGGCTGACGCTGCAGAAGCCCAGTTGCCTGTGAAGTATTTATCGCAGGATGGTGTCCCCTCTTTTCTTTGGAACAGGGAAAATGGGCAAGAAGCCTGCCTGCTGGAGCGCTCGGCTCTTTTTATTCTTGGTTTTCCCTTTGCCTGCCTTCCACAAGTATATTAGACAACCGTTTGAGAGTGAAAACGATGAAGTTTTGCTTTTTCTCAATAACCAGAAGAGCTTCGGTCACTGCTTCTGTGCACTTACGAGCCCAAGTTTAAGGCCCTTTTAGGAGAGCCTGTGATTTCAGGATAACGTTAAGCAGCAAAATTTGAGCCACCTCTTTCAAGTGCCCTTCTTGTTCCGTCTGTTTAGAATCAAGTGTCAGAATCACCACCAGCAAATCATTTTCACGATCTGTGTGGTAACGTTCTTCTATTTAATTTCTCAGTATTGCCTTATGAGACGTAGATTGGTAGAAGTGTTTGTATTGTGAACGGAACAAAAGGAGAATCGTAGGATGGTCGCATTCGTGGCACTCTCTTCTGGAGACTGCAGAACAGACCTTTCAGCCTTGCCTTTAGATTTGAAATTAGGTTCATGGAAACAGAGCCCTGGGCAATTCATCTTGAAACCTAAATGAGAAACAGCTAGCCATCAGAGGCAAAGAATTGGTCCAGCATCTAAAGGCTCAAGAGGCTGTTTTCCATGCCGGGTTGATCTGGACTGTCCTCTAATGAACATCCGTGAAGTTTCCTTCATGTGTTGTGTTCCCAGAATGCCGAATTGTGGCCTTCTAACTTTATGATCAAATGATGTTAATGTGCGTTCTTTAGCTTTTAAGATGACTCGCTATGTTTTAGAAAGGTGATAGTAGCCAGTCTTTATTCTTGAAACGTTGGCTGAAATGCCGAACTGAAACTGCCTGCCATTTTCTTTTATTGCCAAGGTTCTTCAGGTTATTTTTATATGACTCTGGAATCAAGTATTTTTAATTGCCTTCTTTAAAAAAAAAAAAAAATTTATCTCCCACAATAATTGTTGGAAAGTCATTGTTGTTTAAAGTTCCTGGACCTAGAGTTCCCGGAGAACTACGTGTTCGTTCACCCAGAAATACACGCTCGAAGTAGGTGTGGGCTTCATGCGGTTTCAAAGCAGTAAGACAACTTGAAACTACATTAAAGTTAAGATTTGGGTGTGGAATCTTTGGATGGCAACAGTGATTTTTTTTTTTTTTTTAATGGTGTCTAGAAGAAAAAAGATTAAATTCTACCTAAAAAAAAAAAAAAAACAAAAAAAAACACTACTTTCTTTGAATTGATGACCTTCCCATATGTTTGAAATGGAACAAAAGGAGCTAAAAACCTGTTACTTCTAGTAACATTAATTGTTTTTAAATCAGACTTTTCAAATGTTGGAAACAACGATATGAAGTGCCCTTATCTGCTCAGACCTAAGGAAGAACATTTTAAAGTGGCCTTGTACGGGAAATGATTATGTTTCAATTTTGTACTCGTTAAAAAGTGCTAAATATACTACATGAAATTATTGTTTACAGATTAGTGACAAGGGCTGATGATAGGATCCATTTGGACTGTGATTTCCAGATGCCCTCAAACGTACAGTACTTCCAAACTCAAGTCCAGCCATAAGCTATTTTTGTATGTGATTTCTACTTTTATAGACCTGTTTTAAAATAAAACACATTTTTATAAAAATGAGTACTTTTGCTAAGTTGCATTCCTTTGTTCTTTGTCTTTTTTTTTCCTTAAGTGCTCTAGTTAGAAAGCCCTTGGTGTGGTGTGTCCTTGCTATGTTGTGCTCTGGGTCATAGCCCTCTAGTTAAAGACCTACAAAACTAGCCTTAAGTGGACCTCTTTGTTTCATCTACTTCATAGTTTTTTGTCAAATTAAAATGATAGTGTATAATGCTTTCTGAGAAGGTGTTAAGTAAGGCTTATTCTTAACCTTTAAAGTGCTTCTAAAATAGTAATATTTATAAAACATTTGAAATTCAGGTGACTAATGTGATACTCAAGTACTAATAAAAGGCAGCGAGTGGCACTTTTAAAATTTAGACTGGACCAGCTTACACTGTATATTTTACTCTCATTAGGAAACTGTTTGACTGGTTCACTCCGTACCTAAGAGGTCTTGGGAATTCAGTTCCCTCTGAACCGTCCATTCAAATGGTAGAATAGTGATTCTTGCTGAACATCACCTTTTTTTTTTTTTTTTTTGCTGTTTTTGGTTATGCTCTGTTATCACTTTTAGGCTTCCTTAATTATGAAAAATGTCAAATACATGCAGAAATTAGAGACTGTCATGAACTTCATCACTTTTGTCATTAACCTACAGCCTATCATTAGAGCCATCATCACAACCCCCCTACACACCCCCACCTGCTCAAATTACTTTGAAGCAGAATTATATTTTAGTATATACATCAGAATTTAGTATATACATATACTAGTATATAGTATATACATATACTAAATATAAAAATTTAGTATATACATCAGAAAGAGATTCTCCTGAATTAATTCTGCAACATTGAATGTCAAGATGCTGTAGAAAATTCCCTAGTGGGTCTCAAGTGCTTTCCTTACACGGGTTTGTTTTGATGAGGCCTCAAACGTAAGGCGTGATCTACACGTGCACTTGATTGACACTCTCTTAGTCTCTTTGGGTCCCCCCCGCCAGCTTTTTTTCCTTACAGTTTGTTTACTGAAAAAAGAGGTTATCCTGAGTTCAACATTGTGACTGTTGACGTGATCCCTGGAGTGATATGTAACAGGTTCATCTGCCCCCTATTTCCATAAATTGGTAGTTAGATTCAGCAGCAAAAAGCCCTAAACCAAGGGGGATTTTGCCATCCAGGAGACATTTAGTACTATCTGAAAACATTTTTGGTTGTCCCAAGCAGAGAGGTGCTGTTGGCATCTAGCAGGTAAGAGACCATGGGTGCTGCTAACTAACCATCTTACGATACACAGGACAGCTCCCCACCACAAAGTATTTTCTGGTTCAAAATATCGGCAGTGCTGGGGTTATGAAACCCCAATCCCAAGGCTGCTCTTACAAGTTCCTTTCTCAGCGAATCAGTTCTTGCTAGGTGGTATTGTGTTCTTCGGTCAAGAAGCACCTAACATCTGGCTGTCCTTCTTTGTATGTTCTAACATCTGCCTGTGGCCCTTGATTCCTCCCCTCTCCCATACCCACTAGTTCCAGAGATCTGAATTTCTGGATAAGGTAACTTGTATCTCTTCCATCCTGGTGAACTTGATTTCAGTCCAACATTTACTGAAGACCTACAATGTGGAAGATGCTGTGTTAGAGGGGCAGCACCTGGGAGGGTACAGAGCATCTGAGGAAAGGCACAATACCCAGAGACTGGGAAGACTAGAAAGAAACCCCTTTCCTCCGGCTACCCTAACCTTGCCCAGAACAAGCAAGAAGGCAGCCGCCTCTTTGTCTTCCCCTTCCCAAACTAGCCAAATATCCAAGGAAGTCAAAAAAAGACTCTTCATCTTGAGGCCAACTCTTGTGAAGCTCTAGATTTTGGCAATATTTTACACTGCTTTTAGAGTGGATAATCTACAGTAACCCACTTAAAATCCTCACGGAACTATTTAAAAATCAATACAATGATTTTGTGAGAAATCATTCCACAAAGAGATGTTTTGAAGAGAAGATCTGAGGCAGGAGGAAATAGCGATATATTCAAAATGTAATTACCAAAGATATTTTAAATAGATTGTTTTCCTGTGAAAGCCAAGAAGAACCAGCCTAGTGTGACAACATCACTCAAGCCCTCTTCATCCATTTGAAGATAGTAAGTGTGGGAAATAAACAGCATTTGTAGTTGGGGGAAATGTCTGTTTAGAAGGACAGTTTGTAAAAACCTTGTTCTCAAATACTGTACTACTTATTTCAGATACCCATCTATCAGATCCCCCTACACACACACCATAAGGAAAGAATGTTAAATTTCAGTATGTTAAAACTATTGTTTAGTATTGTAATTAGCAGTTTCTTCCCTAGCTGTTATCCGTCTTTATTCATTGTGCAAGAGTACAGATGAGAACTTATTGTCCCCACTCCTGAGGAATTCACAATTAAATGGTATCAAAAGTTGTATCTTATTCAGATCTCTTCTGTAGTTTTTTCAGGATCTCAAATTTTTATTTTTTTAGCTATTGATATTCGGTTTTTAGAAAGGGAGAAATGGGGGCTCCTGGGTGGCATGGTCGATTAAGCATCTAACTCTTGATTTTGGTTCAGGTCATGATCTCACGGTGGTGAGATCGAGTCCCGCATTGGGCTCTGTGCTCAGTGTGGAGCCTGCTTGTGACTCTGTCTCTCCCTCTGCCCTTCCCCACCACGTTCTCTCTCTCTCACTAATAAATAAATCAATCTTTTTATGAACAAAATTAGTTTTAACCCATGCCTTTACTACCCTATAAAATATTCAAATTAAAATATTTTTTCTAATTTTCTCTTTAATTCCCCTTGTTTAGTCAGTAATTTTCTTTAAAAAAAAATGTATCTTAAAGCCCATGATACTTAAAAAAGTACTCTTCATATTTTCCCTTAATGTAGAAAACTTAATAAGCCTTCTCGTTGACTTGTGTCCTAACCCCTCATGCTTATTTTTAATGTTAAAAGTCAAGAACACACTGCATTTGAAGTAAACAATTCCTCCTTGTAGCTCAGTAATTCATCAGTGTATTTACTTCTATCTCTTCCCTCTCATATATCTAATTCTTTTCATTATATCATTTATATGTCATGATATACCCAGGATGTCTTGGAAGATACTATCCCTGTGTATAATGATGCATATATTATGTTACATCGACACAATGTATGGATTTTTTAGTGATTTAAATCCTGAATTACCTCTTTTGTTTTTAAGTCCTTTTTTAAAATTGAAGTACAATTGACGTAAGTTTCAGGTGTGCATCAGGTTGATTTGACAATTATACGTTACAAGCGTTCACGGTGGTTAAGTATAGTCACCATCCGTCTCCATAGAACCTTATTACAGAATTAGTGGCTATATTCCCTATGCTGTACTTTTCATCTCTATGATACCTCTTAATCCCCTTCACCTATTGCGCCCAACCCCCTATTCCTTCTCCCCTGTGGCAACCTAGCAGTTTCTTCTCTGTATTTGTGAGTCTCTGTTTTGTTTATTTTCTTTTTTAGATGACACATTTAAGTGAAATCATATGATACTTGTCACTCTCTGTCTTCTTTCCCTTGGAGTAATACCCTTGGAGTAATACCTCTGTCCATGTTGTCACAAATGGCAAGATTTAACTTCTGTAGGTAAATAATATTTTTTTGTCTACCATATCTTTACCCATTCATCTATCCATGGACACTTAGGTTGCTTCCATATTCTGGCTATTGTAGATAATGCTGCAGGGAACATAAGGGTGCATATATCTTTTTGAATTAGTGTTTTTATTTTCTTCAATAAATATTCAGAAGTGGAATGGCTGTATTATATGGTCGTTTTATTTTTAATTTTTTAAGGAGCCTTCACATTCTTTTACATAGTGGCTACATCAATTTACATTCCCACCAACAGTGTACAAGGGTTCCCTTTTCTCCATATCCTTGCCAATACTTGGCTTTTTTTTTTTTTAAGATTTTACTTATTTATTTGACAGATCACAAGTAGGCAGAGAGGCAGGCAGAGAGAGAGGAGGAAGCAGGCTCCCTGCTGAGCCGAGAGCCTGAAGCTGAGCTCAATCTCAGGACCTGAGATCATGACCTGAGCCGAAGGCAGAGGCTTTAACCCACTGAGCCACCCAGGCGCCCCAACACTTGGCTTTTTTAAAATAACCACTCTGACAGGTGTGAGGTGATATATATTGTGATTTCAATTTGCGTTTCCCTGATGGTGAGTGATGTTGAGCATCTTGTCATGCGTCTGTTGAGCATCTGTGTGTCTTTGGGAAAATGTCTGTTTGGGTCCTCTACCCATTTAATCAGATTATTTTGGTATTGAGTTCTGTGAGTTCTTTCTTTATTTTGGATAATATCCCCTTATTGGGTATGTCATTTGCAAATATCTTCTCCCATTTGCTACTTTTTTTTTTTTTTTGGTGGTTTCCTTTGCTATACAAAAGCTTTTTATTTTGATGCAGTTCCATGTGTTTATTTTTGCTTTTGTTGCCCTTGCTTGAGGAAACACATCCAAACAAATACCG